AGTTAAAGATTGTTAAAGATTCATAGAATGGAGCTACCGAACCAGGTGACCTTTGCTCATAGATCAGTCACCCAAGAGGGGCCTCCGCCCAATAGTGAGACCTCATGAACAGCCTGTGGCCCTCTACATCCTTACAGATCCCCAACAACCCCCCCTTTTTGTTTTTGCTGGAGACGGAGCATATGAAGCTCAGTCCCAAAGTCCTTTATCTGATTAGCTATGCACCTGAGCAAACACGGTCCAAAACACAGCATGGTCAGCAAAATCAAACATAATGGTAATAAAGAAGACAATAGAGACATAAGCCAATGTCCAAGGTTATCAAAATGGAGTTTTGATATGGAGTTTATCTAGTCAATCAAGTATATGTTGGGCAGTTTTATCTGGCATCAAATCTTTTTTTTTCCAAAGATTTTTTTAATATGAATTTGTTTATTTTTAGTTTTCAACATTCACTTCCACAAGTTTTTGAGTTCCAAATTTTCACCCCATCTCCCCCCTCCCCCCACCCCAAGATGTCATGCATTCTGAATATCCCTTCCCTTAGTCTGCCCTCTCTTCTATCTCTCCCCCCTTCTCTTATCCCCTTCCCCTTCTATTTTCCTGTAGGGCAGGACAGACTTCTGTACCCCATTTCCTATATTTCTTATTTCCCAGTAGCATGTGAAAACATTTTTTTAAAAACATATGTTTTTAAAACTTTAGGTTTCAAATTTTCTGTCTTCCTCCCTCCCCACCCACCCTCATTGAAAAGGCAAGCAACTCAATATAGGTTGTACATGTGCAGTTATGCAAAACACATCCACAGTAGACATGTTGTGAAAAACTAACTCTATTTCCCTTAATCCTATCCTGCCCTCCCATTTATTCTATTCTTTCTTTTGACCCTGTCCCTCCTCAGAAGTATTTACTTCTGATTACTCCCTTTCCCAATCTGCCCTCCTCTCTATCATCCCCCTGTTCTCTTGTCCCCTCTCCCCCTATTTTCCTGTAGGGTAAGACAGATTTCCATACCCAATTGAATGTGTATGTTATTCCCTCCTTAAGCCAAATCCTATGAGAATAAGATTCACTCATTCCCTCTCACCTTCCCCCATTTTCCCTTCCACTGTAACAGACTTTTCTTTTCTGGTTGTTTTTGTGAGATAATTTACCCCATTCTCCCTCTCCCTTTCTTCTTCTCAGAGTATAATCCTCTCTCATCCCTTAATTTTATTCTCCAGACATGACCCCTTAATCTTCAGCTCACCCTGTGCCCTCTATCTATCTATCTACATATACCATATATATTTTTTTTCTCCAACTACCTGATCTACAAGGTCTCATGAGTTATAAATATCATCTTTCCATGCAGGAATGTAAACAGTTCAATCTTAATAAGTCTCTTATGATTTCTCTTTCCTGTTTACCTCTTCATGTTCCACTGGAGTCCTGTATTTGAAAGTCAAATTTTCTATTCAGCTCTGGTCTTTTCATCAAGAATGCTTGAAAGTCCTCTATTTCACTGAATGACCATTTTTTCCCCTGAAGGATTATACTCAGTTTTGCTGGGTAGGTGATTCTTGGTTGTAATCCTATCTCCTTTGCCCTCCGGAATATTGTATTCCATGCCCTCTGGTCCTTTAATGTAGAAGCTGCTAAATCTTGTGTTATCCTGATTGTGTTTCCACAGTACTTGAACTGTTTCCTTCTGGCAGCTTGTAATATTTTCTCCTTGACCTGGGAACTCTGGAATTTGGCTACAATATTCCTAGGAGTTTTCCTTTGGGGATCTCTTTCAGGAGGAGATCTGTGGATTCTTTCAATTTCTATTTTGCCCTCTGGTTCTACTATATCAGGGCAGTTTTCCTTGATAATTTCTTGAAAGATGATGTCTAGGCTCTTTTTTTGATCATGGCTTTCAGATAGTCCAATAATTTTTAAATTCTCTCTCCTGGATCTATTTTCCAGGTCAGTTGTTTTTCCAATGAGATATTTCACATTGTTTTCTAATTTTTCATTCTTTTGGATTTGTTCTACTGTGTCATGATTTCTCATAAAGTCACTATCTTCCAATTGCTCTATTCTAATTTTTAAGGAAGTATTTTCTTCAGTAAGCTTTTGGACTTCTTTCCATTGGCCATTCTTTTTTAGGATTTTCTTCATGCTTTTGGACTTCCTTTTCCATTTGGCCAATTTTTCTTTTTAGGGCATTTTTCTCCTCATTGGTTTTTTGGACCTCTTTTGCCTTTTGGGTTAGGCTATTTTTTAAGGTGTTATATTCTTCAGTATATTTTTGGGTCTCCTTTAGTAAGCTGTTGACTTGTTTTTCATGATTTTCTTGCATCACTCTCATTTCTCTTCCCAGTTTTTCCTCTACTTCTCTTACTTGCTTCTCAAAATCCCTTTTGAGCTCTTCCAAAGCCTGGGACTGATTCGTATTTTTCTTGGAGGCTGTGGATGTAGGAGCTTTGACTTTGTTGTCTTCTTCTGGTTGTATATTTTCATCTTCTTTTTCACCAACGTAAGATAATATAGTCTGACTCCTTTTGCACTGCTTGCTCATGATCCCGGCCAATTACTTGAGTTTTAAACTCTTTGTTAAGGTACGAATCTGCTTCCAATGTGGAGAAAGTACTGTTCCAAGCTTCGGGGGGTTTGTACAGCTGTTTTCAGAGATATTTGTAGGGCCCTATAAATTTTTCTTCCAAGGTGCTATGATAAGGGGCGAGGTGTTTACTCCTTTCCTGGCCTGTGACAACAAGTACTCCTCTCTGTCCTCTAACTGTGAGGAGGGGTTCCTCTCCACAATCACTACAAGCTCCACCAAGCCAGCACTCCTCCTCACCCCAGCACTGCCGCCCAGAACTGTGACCCAGATCCAAACACAGGCAAAGCAAGAGATTCCTGTCTCAGCACTGGCAAAGAGATCCCTGCAATCCCTCTCTGATCAGTCACTGGATTCCTCCTCAGTCTGTGGGCCAGAAGCTCGGGAAGCAGCTGCCCCCGCCCCCCCAGGGCCACACTCTTGCGGAATGGAGCTGAAACCCTGCCTTCCTTTCTCAGCACCGACAGAAACAGACTTTTCCACTGACCTTCTAAGTTGTCTTTGGCATTGGTGGATTGAGGAGTCTGGAAACCTCCACAGCTGCCCCCGATTCAGTCCTCTGAGGCCTGCTCCAAGTTCACAGTGGCCTGCGTGCCCACGCTGCGCTGCCCTCCCAGCCCGGCATGATACACCTTTCTGATCAATCATCCAGGTTTTCTTGGGCTGGAAATTTGTTTTTGTGGGTTCTGCTGCTTCAGAATTTGTTTAGAGCCATTTTTTTTATGAGTATTTGGAGGCGTTTGGAGGAGAGCTCAAGCAAGTCACTGCTTTCACTCTGCCATCTTGGCTCCACCTCTGGCATCAAATCTTTATTAGCCCCCCTTGCAATATTGTTAGCAATTTCATATAAGTCATCAATATCCACTGCAATAGTAGAATTCCCAAACAGCCCATTTAGATGTCTACGTATTCTTTGCCAATTCCATTGAGATTTATTGTATTTAACATTGGTAAGGCAAATGAATTTATACCTATAATCACATTTCAAATGTGTTCTATATTCTAAAATGTCCAATGAACCACTTATTTCAATAATGGTTTCCTTCATTCCCTCAAGCATATGGTAAAATTCATCATCTATCCTCTTTTGTGTTTGAAAACCTTTAGAACATTGTGAGCTAATTGATCCATAAAATCAGCTTGAACCATTTCATTTTTTGAGATATATACAGATTGAGATAAAGATACATAAGCAGTTATGATAGCTATAAGTGAAACAATTCCTAATGCTACACATGAAATACATCTCTTTTTCCTAGCAACTGCTAATTGATTACTTTGGTCTACTATTCCAAAAATATGATCAGAACATGACTCATACCAATCTTTCCTTTTCACAGGCACCAAGGCAAACTTTTGTTGTGTAATAACAAAAATAATTTAGTCTCTAATCTTGGTTCCTATACATTCAGACATCCTGCAATTAATACAAGTGACATTATATTCTCCTGAATCCATGGCCGTTATATTAACATCCTGTGCTCTTCCCCACATAAATGCATGATTACCAGTCAAACAAGCTCGCATTGTCATATTATCATGGATGGTCCCTTGCAAATTCATGATGTTTATGGGACTTAAGGCTGCCCACACCTTCCACAACTGATTTTCAACCCCTCTGTCATGAAGGGAAACCCACTGAGGAAATGGAAACCTGCCAAAAGCCCAAGTATGATTGTTTTTCTCCCTAGTATAATTGTGCCAGGATTGTAATGTAAAATTCTTTTGTAATACAACATGACTTCTGAAGTATGATAAGATAACCAAGGAGGATACCCTAAGCTCTTGCTAATTGGTGTCACATGATAGCATTGCTTTGAATTACTTGGACGTCGGATAGGTGTGTCATTAACACACTGTGACCTCAAGATAACTGCATAAGTAACCTTATGAAATTCAAAAGAGACAATAGTATAAGGAGGGGGTGCTGTGTTATTAAACACATACCCATCAAAACGGGTGGTGACATTAAATAATTGTAAACATGTGGAGTTTTTGGTGTCATTGCCTTTTGTAACACAAATAAGCGGCACCAAAGCCCCACCAGTAAAGTTCATTTTTACAGTGTATTGAGAGCAGTTCTTAGGTGATATGAAATGAAATTCCTTGCCAAAACCTGTGGAGGCATTTCTTTGCAGAATGACCTCAGGTATTGTCTCTCCCCATGTATCTAGTCTGGGCCATTGTGTTTTGTCACAAAGGCCCATTGTGTTGTATTTCCTGTCTCTGCTGCTGCTGTATTCTGTATCCCTGCTGACCATAACGACAAGAGGCACAGCTTGGTTAAAAGTTCTTGTAGTGCCTTCTTATTCTTTTGGCTCCTTCAGTTCCTGGCCGGCCTGTGTTTTCTCTTCTGCTTGCCTTGTTCCTTCTGAATGGATAATGTGGACATCCTTTGTTCTGACCCAGAGTTCTCCATCACCTGTGAAAATAAGAACAAACCCTTGCTCCCAGGTTAGCACTAGCCCTGGGCCCTACCAGACACCGTCAATGTCTCTCCACATAACTTTCATATTATGTTTAGGAGAAAGGAATCTATCTGTTTGATTTAGTGGTATCACTAGTACTGTTGTTATTTCCTGCCAGATATTTCACTGCAAGGGAGAGGTTACAACTATCGAATTTTAAATAATTTATAGTGTAGAGTGCAGTGTTCAATTGATGCCAAGGGTTAGCTCCCCCCTTTTGTTTTTGAAGCACCATTTTCAAGGTATGATTGGCACGTTCAACTATGGCCTCACCACGAGGATTATAGGGAAGGCCAGTAGTGTGACTAATAGAGAACTCAGTACAAAACTTTTTAAAACCCTGTGAAATATATGCAGGACCATTATCAGTCTTTAAGCATTGGGGTGGGCCAGTGAAGGAAAAACAATAAAGCAAATGAGTAACAACATTGCAAACAGCCTCACTCACTTAAGCAGTGTCAAAAATAAAGCCTGAATAAGTATCAATAGAAACATGAGCATATTTTTGTCTTCCAAAAGGAGAATAATGAGTAACATGCATTTGCCATAAGCTGTTAGGTGTAAGTCCCTTGTTAATTAATTTTCCTGACTTCCTTGCAATAATAAAAACAGGTGAATTTTAAGGAACCCAAACAAGTTCATTGGATTTCATTTTGTATTTTTTCAGTTTTATGGATAGAAAAAGCAGAAACAGTGGGCGGGAGAAAATAATAGCTCTCAGTAAATGTAAAATATCGTGCCCACAAATTAAGGGGAAATGAATTGAGTTTTAGCTATTATCCTAGTAGTTTAACTTCATCTTAAAATAATTGATTAGTGGTGATTTATTAGGGAAGCTAAAAGTAATTAATATCCATAAAACGTCATATGAAACTTATTAAAAATTATCAAGGAATCTTGATTAATTTGTGACATTTTGGTGGTATACCTGCAGACTGCAGAACAATACACCCAAAGTAAGCAAAGGGTGATACCCTCTGTACCCTTTCAGGGGTAATTACAAATCTATGAGACTGAAAGGCTTGTTGACTGAAAAGCTTGTTAAAACTTGGGCATTAATAAGGAAAGTTTGGTAGTAGTAGGACAACTGCAAAGTTTATCATCCATACAATAAATTATTTTTGTCTGGGAATATTTCTGACTAACAAGTTTAATAGTGTGATGAACAAAATTTCGGCACATGGTAAGAAACATTCCTCCTTAAAGGATCATAATAGGGAAAATGGGAAATACTGATTTAATAAGACAACCACACCGAAATTCAAGCTCAAACCAAAGTTAATCATAGTTCTAAGAGTCTTTTACCTCAAGCAGTAAGTTTCACTAATTATGGCTTAAAGCCAGATACAGTTAATTGTTTTCATAGAAGTGTAATAATCAATAAAGATTTACTAGGACTCACATATATAAGAAATTTTACTTAACATCCTTTCTTTCCCACATTTAAACTTGACTTGGTGAAAAAGCCAATTATCAGAAATCATTATATGAAGTTGCAATTTCTCAGTAAGCTAAATGAATTGTTTAGGAGCTCAATAATATAAACAAATCCTTCTCTCAGAGCAGACGACCTTGACACAGTTGGTAGGAGCTTTTGGCAAGCTTACAAAGTTAAGAGAATTGCCTTGTGTCCCTCCTTTTCACTCAGAAGCAATTAAGAATTCTAGGTTTTAGCTTTAAAACAGTAACTTCAAATAACTTAGTTAACAATTTTGGTAATTTTCATGAGTGATAGTTAAAAAATTATTTTAGCTCTAAGCTGTTCTTTTAATCATAGGTAAAGATAGAAATATCTGATTTTCTAAATGATAGTTATAAAACATCATAGAACAAGATTAACTGGACTTGATAAAATAATTTAGCTGGATTTACACAGTTATCTCACTACCTTTCAGTTTCTTTTAGTTCATGTTTTAATAACATCAAAATTATTAAAAGTTGCTTGATATAACACATAAAAGTGTACCAATTTGTAATGAGACTAGATTTTTAAAACTTGAAACATGCATATTGCTAATGTGAATGAACTAAATTATCTTTAGATTGTGTTCCAATATTTAAAAACTTTTTTTTTGATCTAAAAGAGGAAAACTGTCCTCCTTATCTCCTCCTTCTTTCTCCCCCACCCCAAACTGGCCAGGGTTCGAATTTGAGAGAAAGGAAAAGAATATTTTTCAACATAATCTTTCAATCTTACACCCAAAGCTTTGGCCAGAGCTTTAGAATGCAAAAAAGAAAGTGAATTTTTTCTCCAAAAGTTTCCAAATCTTTTACTCTCAAATCATCTATTCCTGCTATTCATGCAAACAGATTATACTATTCTTTCCACCCATACTTTTCTTATTCCTGTATGTTTAAACTTTCTTGCCTTTTATCAAATTATATAACCTAAATAATGAAATACTTTTTCTCCCATTCTCTCCTCCATCCACCTGCTCCCGGGAAATGCAGCTGGTATTAGGGAGGGGGAAGGGGAGAAAGTCACTAACAGCATTTCAAAATCCAGTTGCAGCCCTTGGCTGCCTGGCAGTAAAAGATTAAACAGATCACAGACATTAATTACAGACCATCATTCACACAGACACAGACAAACATAGAACAAAATGACAGGGATAATCCAAAAGCAAGAAACTTGTTAGAAATTCCCCACACAAAAGAAATAATACTATTTTTATTTTATTTTATCTTTTCTTTTCATGGTATTCTAAAACCAGGCAAAATCTTTCTTAAGGTTTCGATTTTTATAAAAGGAAACTTTTTCACTTTGTAATGCTCCACAATGTCCACAATATGGTGCTGTGACTACACGTTTCTTTTCTACTTCCCCTTGGGGATTTTTGAAATTCCTCATGGCGGGATTTTTGAAATTCCTCATGGCACATGGCGGGAGCTTCCTTTGTTCTCACAGCTCCTACAAGCCCATTTTTATAAGATTATAGATAGTGAAAGTACCCAGAGGAACTGATTTGGGGCCTTTGGTGTTATAAAATTCTGTCGATTGTTCTCCCACTATTTTCCATTGTTCTAAATCTAGACTCCCTTCTCTGGGGTGCCATGGAGATTTTATATCAATAATATCTAGAAACTCTCTTATTTTCTTAGGAGTTACCAAGCACTCCTGTTCCTCAGTCACCCGAGAGGGGCCTCTGCCCATCAGTGAGCCCTCATGAACAGCCTGTGGCCCTCTACATCCTTACAGATCCCCAACAATCTAGCATATTACGTCTTTGTCTTATTTTGTCTAATCATTTCCTCCTTAGGAGGATGTTATCCCTATATTATCATTATTTGGCCATGAATGTAAGTTAAAATTGTAAGCTATTCATACTTGCATCCTATTGTAGTAACTCAGAGATGTTCTAATATCCATCTATTATTTAATAAATTTAGTACTATACTTACAGAACTTCTTGATAATAGAAATTTGTTATAAAAGGAAAGGAGGGACAATGTCATATGTCACATCAGAAGGAAAGAGCTCCCTTAGCTCTGTTTGATTCCAGGCATGAGTAATATCCGATAGCCAATCATGTAGTCATTGGATGTTAAAAGTAGGGCTCAAGATTAATCAGGTGGGGAATTTTCCTTTTCAGAAAGGAAATAGCACAATTGGGAAATAGAGTCAGGAAGATCCTACCTAGGCTGTGTCCAAGTTCATCCTCAAAACTCTTCTAAGGCACAGAAATCCACATTTGTCAGTTCTCAGCCTGCAGCACATGACATTCTACTATTGGCTTCATGACAACTCAGACAACTAGCCCTGTAATCAAAGCTCAAAACAATACCTATTTGTGTCTAATAGTAGCCATCTCTAGGGTGGATGGGGGGAAGGGAAGAAAAAAAAAGGAACAAATATAATTTACATGATAACTTCGCTGTATATTTGGAGGGAATAGCAAGTTATATGTGGTAGATTGGCAGCTTCATGTGCAGTCAGAGGTAAACCTCTGCCTCCATGTAACATGTTACATGCTGCTACCTTAAGAGAATAAAACAATGTGGATTTACATATCATGTAGCTTGTTGTCTCTTTAACCAACTTTCAGGTCGACAGTGGGAAGTAATCTTTTTTTAAATTTTATTTTTTATTTTTTGCTTTTTGCTAAGCAGTTGGGGTTAAGTGACTTGCACAGGGTCACACAGCTAGTACGTGTTATATGTTGTGCGTCCGAGATGGGATTTGAACTCAGGTCCTCCTGACTTTAAGGCAGGATCCACTGTGCCACCTCGCTGCTCCTGGGAATTAATCTTAGGGAGACACTAGTAGTGGAAGGTACTTAGAAGAGTCCCTTGCAGAAGGAAGGTTTTGAGCTGAAACTTGAAGGAAGTCAGAGATACTAAGAGATGGAGGGGAGGGGGCAGAACAGTAGGGGCATGGATAAAGTAAAGCATGGAGATAGGGGATGAAGTGTCCCATTCAAGGAATAGTATTATTGGATCTTAGAGTGTGGAGAAGAGAGTAAAATGGAAGAAGAATGGAAAGCTAAGAAGATATTAGGTTATGAAGAACTTTAAATGCCAAACAGAACACTTTATAATTGACCCTGGAGGTAAATAGAGAGTCACAGGAGTTTATTGAGTGGGGAGGGGAAAAGGGGGAAGTAGCATGAGCAAATATACACTTCAGAAAAATCACTTTGGGTGATGAGTGCAATGTACAAAATGAGACAAATGTTTCGGGATATGGCCAATGTGGATCAGTTCTGAGGTGGTTTTCTAGTTGTTTGGAGAGGAATTTGGGAAGGCTTCAGAGGGTTCCTTCTTCACTCCACCATCTTGGCACCAGAAGTCCTATTCTATGCTTTTTAACATCAGTTAGTATTTAATTCAATTTTTAAAAATTACTAACCAATTCTTATGTGTAAGGCATGGTTCTAGGCTCTGAGGATACAAAGTTCATTTCAGAAATGAAACAAACCCTTCCATCTAGAAGGCTGTATTACTTGGGAACAGAGAATAGAGAAATATAATATATACATATAGATA